GCAATACTTGGGCAGATGCCTGTCTCTAGTTATTCGATAATTATTCCTCATTAGAGAGGAACTTCCAATCCTTTTTCTGTACCCAGGGCTCACCCTTTGGCCCCGATTATTTTATGAAGCAATAGGACCAGAGAAGGAAAGGGGCTTGGCCAAGCCCATACACTGAATTATTAGTAGCAGGGACCAGACCAACTATTCTCAGGCTCATGACTAGGCTCCCAGTTTATCCTACTGCCCCTTTCTCTCTAGTCCTGAGTCTGTGAGCTGCATCCATCATGGGTCTGAAACTTTCCTTACAGTACCCAGGGGTCAGTTGTAGGACAGCAAGCTAACATTACTACTCCCATCATCTCTCCTCCAGTTGTACATTTTATACATAAAGCTAAAACTGAATAAAACTAGGTTTTTAACAGACACTCATGTGAAAACCCTATCTCCACCTCGACATCCCTACTACTGCCTAAGGAAGAAAGGGGAGGAAGAGGAAGTGGGAGGGAAAAGAAAGGAAGAAAATACCTCTCCAAGAGATATACTGTCTGAATCATCATCTAGAATCATAAAATGTTATTGCTAGAAGGGACCCTGGGGGTCATCTAGTCATTATTTTTCATCATTATTCAAATGAATAAACCTGGCCCTTTGAGTAAGTGTAGACTTTTGCCACCTGAGGAAAAGACTGGCACACAGAGCAGAGTCTCCTGACTCCTGCCCATAATAAGAATCCTTCTTAGTCCCTCCCCACTCTCTCCCCTCCACTACAGTATCTAAGCTGAGATCTGCTGCCCTTTTGAATGCAAGCTTCTCAAGCTATGTTTTATTCATCTTTGCTTTCTCAGTGCCTAGCAGAGTAAGCAGAGGTGAATTACAGAGGGACACTAGCACATGGGGAGAGCAATGCCAAAGAATGTTGTCTGGAGAAAAAACATAAGCTTTCCTTGACTTTAACATAAGCAGTCTTCAGAGCTGTGCAAGGTCTGGAATGTCTAGGTTCTAATTATTTCCTCCTTTCCGAAACTAGTGTCTACAACAGTTTAGCCAGGGATAGCTATCAAATTTGCTGTGCCATACTCTCCCTCACCCCTGTTTCCCCTCCCCTCCCCTTGGAGAACTATGATCAATAACTGGATGAAGGTAAATGAAAGCAGATGTAATAAGACCCTGCATGAGAAATCTTCCCCCCACCTTCTTCTCCTGTGTCCTCACCTCAATAAACTGCATCCCCATCTATACAACTGCACCAGGTAGAAATCTAGAAGTGTTCCTTGATTTCTTCCTTACCCTCCACGCCAACAATCTTTGATAGTGTCTCACAACTTAATTCCATCTTTTCTCCACACACACACACACACACACACACACACACACACACACACACACACCCTTCATTGGAAATACCATCACCTCTTGCCTGCATTACTGCAAAAGCCTCCTAACTGGTCTCTTTGCCCATGGTGCTCTAGCCCTCCAATCCACTCCCCAAAGAGCCACTGATATCCTTCTAAAATGCATACAGGATCATGGTCCCCTCACCAAAATGAAGTCCAAACTCTTCAACCTGGGCAATAAGGGCCTTTCATGACTTGGCCTCTGCTCTGCCCACCTTGCCAGTCTCATCTTTTGCTACATCACCCATCTCATGCTTCATGCTCCACCCAGAAATCTTAAGAAACTTACTTAACCCCTCTGGGTTTGCTTCCTCACCTACAGAATGGGAATTATAACAGTATGTACCCCTCAAGATGGTTATGGAAAGAAATGAGTTAACACACATTAAATGCTTAAAATGGCATCTGGTAGATATAGTAAATGGCCAAAAGTCTCACCTGTTACCACCGCCATCTCTAGACTTGCTATTCCCTTCTGCCTAGAACAGTCTTACCTGTCTCCTCCTCAGCTCCCCAAATCTCTTCTTTTCCTAGCTTAGTCTTTTCTCTGAGGTCTAAGCCTAGCCAATTTCTCCAACGAACCACCCCACCCTGACCCTCCAAGGCTGGGTTAGTTCCATTCCTCCGTGCTCTCATGGTGCTTGTTCCTGTCACAACACTTCCCACACTGCCTGTTTCCTTGCCTGTCTTCCCCCGAGACACCCAAATTTCCAAGCTTAGTACAGTGCGGAGCAGACGTTTAATAACTGTTCTGTAAACGGAAAATTTTCCAGTAATGAGGTGCCCAATGAAACAGAATCTCAACGGGTAGCCTATTCAAATGTTGGCTGGGTGGCTGGCTGGTCTACATGATTTTAAGTCCCTCAACTACAAGATTCTATCCAATAAACATTTCAATACACTCTGACCTTATTATCACACTCAGGGGTTTAAACTTTAATATGTAGGCAATGTTGGGCCATCAGATTTTTAAGGAAAGTGCAACATACTCAGATCTGTGTTTGTTGCCCTATTATCCATCTCTGGAACACCTCCCATCCCAACCCCCTGCTGGCATCATGACAAAATTCCAACTACACTTCACAAACATAAACACCACATCCCACCACCACACCACCCAAAAGACACAGAAGTAGTCAAAACAAAGGGAATTTTGAAAGACTAAATGCAGCATTTAATTCCATCTTAACTACCTGCAAGCAATGAGGAGCCATAAATACCCTCTAGGAACCCAAAAGCTAATCGCTCTTGTGTGCCTTAATGGAAAGAGGAGGGCACAAAGAGGGAGCATTTCATAAAGATAATCCATTTAATCATCCTGAGTAGTTCTGATCCAAGCTGCTGTCACAGCACTGCTACTGTTGATCACTACAGTCCCATATGCCCAAACCCAGGACAGCCAGAAAGGAAGATGCAAACAAAGCAAGGGTGGGGAGTCCTCTGAGTTCTATTTCAAGAGCAGGAGTTCCCTTTGGAAGATACAGAAGGGGGAAAGGGGGGGGGGGGGGGGAGGCTTAACCAGAGTGGTACAGCCAGGCCTAGGTTCTTGCTCTGGAGCTGCATGCCACACCTTACTGCAGATGAGAACTAATAATCATTTTGCATTTTCAGAGCACCTAGGGCTTAAGGGAGGCACTAAGAGTACCAGCTTTGCCAGTCACAAAAGGACAAATATTGTATGATTCCATTTACACGAAGTACCTAGAGTAGTCAAATTCACAAGGACAGAAAATAGAATGATGGTTGCCAGGAGGGAGAGGAGAGGAAGTGTTTATACAGAGTTTCAGCTGAGGAAGATGAAAAAGTTCTAGACACGGATGGTAGTGATGGTTGCACAACAATGTGAATATATTTAACGCCACAGAACTGTACATTTAAAAATAGTTAAAATAGTAAATTTTATCTTACATGTATTTTTACAAAAAAATAAATTAAAAGCATACCAGCTTTAAAGTTATATTGTCTGCAGTTATCAATTACATGATCCTGAGCAAGTCATGTAACCTCTCTAATCCTGTTTCTTCTTCTGCAAAAGGAATTTAATAATATACCTAATTCATACAGTAGCTCTGAGGACTAAATGAGATACTCCATAGAAAGTCCTTAATCCAGTGACTGGTACATGGAAAGTACTTAATAAATGTTAGCCTACTACTACAATGCACTTTCATAGCCATTTTTTCATAGTCCCCACCCAACCCTGTGATAGTTTACAGATAAGGAAACTAGGGCTCAGAGAGCCACAATGAGTGACTGAGTTCATGATGCCACATCAAATCAAATCCTTTGTCCATGAGAGATGCCCTGTACTCACCACTTGTTAATCTGGTGATCTAAGTAAGGCAAGTGCCCTAACCTTGCTATGTCTTAATTCTCAATTAGAGTTGTAAAAAGGAGATATAAACCAAACTCTGAGAGCTCCCTCACAGAACTGGATGAGAAATGAAATCAGGTAACAGTTATAAAAGAAAACTATAAACCATAAATAAAGTACTATAAAATAACAGTGGTGACTTATGAGAACTGGTACTCCTGTGCACAAAACCTGGCCTCCTTTTAATGCTGGGACTAAACAACTTCTTTGTGATTTCAAGTTACTTGGGATTCTTGGTCTTCAGACCTGAATAAGTAGTTTAGTGCCCTTTCAAAAGGGGGCAGAGTACAGTAGAAATAAAAATATTACTGCACTGGAAGTCAGAAGACTGGAATTCCAGTTGTGATTCTGTCACTAAAACAGTCTGTGAATTTAGACAACTTACTTACCCCTTCCAAGATTCAGTTAACAGGAAAGAGGGAAAAGGCAGATAAAAAAAGTTAGACCAGATAAGACCCCTTCCAGGTCCTACATACCACTACTTGTAAATCCAGAATCTTGGAAAGGGGAGAGTACAGCAGACCTCCAGACTCCAAAGAACTAAAGCACACATCAGGAGAAATGGCAAGAGCTGGCCTAGGAACTCCCCTGCCTGATCTTTAGACACCAGGGATCAAACACACTGGAAAACTAGAACACTTACCAAAGTTAATTTTAGTTCACTTTTACCCCTCTGGGCCTTATCTGAAAATAAGAGAAATAAATCTCTATTTGAAGGCAGGGAGTTGAAGCAATTGACTTGAACCACTTTCTGCTCCCCCTCCCCCAACCAGGAGCTATAAATCTAAACCCTATAAAGAACAAGCAAGGTTTGGTGGGAGGAACAAGTCACAAAAAACAAAAAACGGATGAACCTCACTGCTTTAAACGACTTACACCTTCCCTGAGCCAAAACCCCAGGGAACTTCAGTTGTGCTTGAGATCTGGAGTCCTCTGCATCCATCAGCTTCTAACGGGCAAGGAATCAGGGAGAACGGAGTTAGTTAGGTATCCCAACTAACGATGTGACTCAAAATCGGTTCTGCACTAAGAGATTACACAAGTTCACACTAAGAAATAAATAACAGGTACCAGCACCACGGCTTCACACTTCTGTGGCTCCTGTGATTTAGAACACATTACTTAACCTCTCTGCGCCTTGACTGCTGCTTTTGTAAATGGGGATAACCTCAGAAGGCCGTCGTGAGCATTCTATAAAATAAGGCTTGCGAAGTTCCTGAGTCAAGTCCATTAAATGTTACCTGTTGGTATTAAACACTTCTCGCACACATTAGTTTCCTCCCTGAATCCACAAACACCCTGCGAGGCGACATTCTTTCTTCCTGTTCACTGAAAGGCAAACTGAGGCTCGGCGGCGAAAAGGCTGCGTGAAGCGCGGAACACGGCCCCAGCTCGAGGGCCTGCTGTTCTTCCTCTATGAGCCCAAGGTGTGCAACAAGCCCAGGACCGGGAAAGGGGGGCCGAGGAGGCGCTCAGGCCAGTAGGGAGCGAGGCGGGACCAGTTTTGATCGCCTCCGGGAACCCGCAGACCCAGCCCGAGAGGGAGAGCCGGAAGAAACCCGGGGCCAAGGCCAGAACCGGGACCCGGCCCGCCCGAGGCCTCCCCAGCGCGGCCTCCGCTCCCCCCTCCTCCCCTCGCCGGGCGGGGCGGGGCGCGAACACAAAAGACTCCAACTTCCGAGCGGGCGCGGGCCCACCCCGCCAACTCCCGGCCCAGGTCCGACCCGCGGGGAGGAGGCGGGCAAGCAACGCCAGGGCTGCCGGGACCCAGGGCGGCAGGCCCGGGTGGAGGAAAGGTGCGGGGGCAGGGTGCCGGGAGTTACTCCGGCTCCCGGGACTCCCCGAATGGCCGAAAAAAAGAGTTTCTAAAAATAGGCAGCGACCGGCGCGAAGAGGTGGGTGACCGAAAAGGAACAAGGAGCACCCCCTCCCCACACCTTCAAGGAGACGCCCGCGGCCCCCACTCACCCGCCCTGAGAGGTCTGGAGGAAGCCGCGCGGCGCGGAAGGAGGCGGTGCCGCCGCACTCGGGGGCGGAAGGGAGGGAGCGAGGGAGGGAGGAAGAAGGCGGCCCCGGCCGCAGCGTGAGGAACTGAATACACGCGCGGGAGTCGCTGCCGCCGCTACCGCCCCCTCAGCTTCTCTCTGCTCTGCCCACCCTGCGCCGAGCTGCTCGCGCACCCCGCCGCACTGACAGCGGCACGAGCCCCGCAGTCTCCAGTCCTTCCTTTGGCCGGCACCACTGAGGCGTGCCGGGGTGGGGGTGTCCGGAGCGGCTTCCCTCAACTCGGCCCCGCCCGCCACTCCGGCTCTGGCCCCGCCACCCCCTGCCCCCGCCTCTGTCTCCAGAGACGGGCCTGGCGACTTAAGCGCGAGGAGTCCGCAGCCCCGCTGTGACACAGCCCGGCCCCCGAGGCGCAGGGGCTCTTCCTACCCCCTCAACTTAGCTTTGGAAAGGTCCAGAGCTACGGCGGGGAGAAAAGGAAGGCGGGGTCGGGGAGGGGCCTGACAGGGAGGAAGGACTGAAGTGGGACCCTGAGGAGGCGGGGCTAGGGCGGGAAGAGAGACTGGTTTACACTGGAACCGAGCGTAAGGAGGGGTGGGTCTGAGAGAGTGATGATGCAGTGAAGAGAAGCGCGCGAGACAAGTATGGAAGACATTGGCGGCCTCGCAGAGCCGGGCTTGAAAGGAGGGGGTGTGGGCGGGGCTAAAGGGAGGCCTGCCCAAAGGAGGAGTCAAGGGTGGAGGGAGGCCCGGGCGAGGTTGGGGGAGGAGGGGCCCTTAACGGGGCGCGTTGGAGGCGGGGCTGAAGAGAAGCCCCAAACGGAGGAAAGACTGAAGCGGGACAGAAGGAGGCGGGCCCGGAAGCTGAGCCGGGAGGAGGGGGCCCAAAGGTGGCCACTCTGGGGAGGAGCCGGAAGGAGGCGTGACCCAAAGGGCGATGGGGTTCGGGAGGGGGCTGGAGGTGGGCGGGGCCTGGAGATGGGGCCCAAACTAGTTGGCGGTGGGCGGTGCCCGAGGGATGCGGAAGAGAAAAAGTGGGACGGAGCGCCAGGGCCTTTCCCTTTGAAGGGAACCTGGTGAGTAGAGAAGGCGAAGATCCACGCTGCCTTTTGGGAGTGGGCGGAGACGCCTCCGTGAGGGCGGGTCAGGGGAGGAGGTGCCACTTTCACCTAAAAGAAAAAGGTTAAATTCAAGCAGCTTTACCCTTTTGGGGTGCGAGAAACGTTTTATAATTTGATCTGGATCTGGATGTTTGTCCTCACTACTGAATAGAGTTCTCCTGTCGAAAACTCTCACCTAAATCAGTGTTCCAGCCTCCACGGAACAGCCGGAGCACACGAGGATGGTAAGCCCTTCAGTCCTCAGCTGTAGACTTCCCTGAACTCTAGGAAGACAAATTCTCCATGCATCGTCCGACCTGTGATTCTGTGATTGTATTTTTCACGTCACTTCCCCCAGAACCTGCCTAAGAGACTGGATTCCTGAGCACGAAGCAGAGTTTGAAAAGAATCCTGCCTGGCTCTGCCAGACCAGCAGTTATAGCTACACTTGTGTTGTTTGATGACCTGTTGCTGCTTCAAAAGGAAGAAAAATCAAACTAGAGAGATGGTGACAACTGAGACCAAGGCCAGGAACGTTCTTCTCCCACCTGTTCTAACGGCTCAGGTCTCTGCTTAAATATCACCTCCTCAGAAAGGCCTTCCCTGAACACCCAGCTTAAAGATGTTCTCTGGTTTGACCTCTTGTTCATTTCCTTCATGGCATTTCTTAGTCTTGTCATTTACTGATCTGTTTATGTGTTTTTGCCCATGTTCCTCACTAGAAGGTAAGTTCTATGAGACCAGGAATCTTTGACTGTTGTGTACGGCACTGTGTAACCAGACTTAGTGTTCAATAAAAATTTGAGTGGATGAATGAGTCAGTCAACCAATTAATGAACCTGGCCCCGGGCTTCCCTGGTGGCACAGTGGTTAAGAATCCGCCTACCAGTGCAAGGGACATGGGTTCGAGCCCTGGTCCGGGAAGATCCCACATGCCGCGGAGCAACTAAGCCCGTGTGCCACAACTACTTAGCCTGCGCTCTAGAGCCCATGAGCCGTACCTACTGAGCCCACACGCCACAACTATTGAAGCCCGGGCGCCTAGAGCCCGTGCTCCGCAACAAGAGAGGCCACCGCAATGAGAAGCCCGTGCACTGCAACGAAGAGCAGACCCCGCTCACTGCAACTAGAGAAAGCCCGTGGGCCGCAACGAAGACCCAGCGCAGCCATAAATAAATAAATGAATGAATGAATGAATGAATCTGGCCCCTCCCAACCTCCTCTGCTCTGTTTCTGGCCACTCCTTGGCTCCTCACGTCCCTCTCTGTGTACCCCAGCCTTACCATGTTTGCTTGAATACACCACAATCTCTCAGCACCCTCTGACAAGGCACTTGGATTGCTCCTTCCCTTCTGCCTAGATGCCTCCTGTTCATCCTTCAACACTCAGCTCAAGAACCACCTCCTCTGAGAGGCCTTCTCTGACCTCCCGTCAGCCCCCCCACCCCACCAGGAAAGTTGAAGCACTCATCCCTTCCTGTTCATGGCCTCAGTTATAAAACTTCCCTGTGCAGGTGACATCATCTTCCCTGCTGGCATCCTGCTGACACAGGATTATGTTCATGCCCTATAAGGTCCTGTGTGACCTGCCTCCTACTCTTCTTATCCCCTCTTGTATTGCTCTCACCACCTCTCACTCTACTCCAGCCACATTGGCCTCCCTCCTGTTCTTCTGACATGCCAAGCATACGACTAACCTTAGGGCCTTTGCATTTGCTCTTGTGTCTGCCTCAAATGCTTTCCTCCCAGGTATTGGCATGGCTCACTCCTCCTTCAGTTCTCTGCTCAAATGTCACTTCCTCAGGCCTCTCTGAGGAAGTGACCCACATTTAAAATAGCAATGCTCCACTCCTCTGCACTTCCTCACACACTTTCTTGTTGAATTTTTCTCCATAGCACTTATCGCCACCTGAAATATTACATGTTTATTGTCTCTCTCCCATCCCTACCTTCCACTACAGTGTGATCACCACAAAGATAGGATTTTGTCTGTTTTGCTCATTCCTCAGTACCCAAAACAGTGGGTCCTCATTTAATATTTGTTGAATGAATGGCTATGAATTTAACAAAGAAATGCTAGGAATACTCTGCATCGTCCAGAAGAATCCCTGAAGATTAGAGTGTAAAGGGAGATGTTTCTGAGGAAATGTGCTGGCAACACTAGCTAACGTGGAGCATTTACTAGTTGCCAGGCAATCTGCTAAGCGCTTTTCAAGCTGATTCCCACAGCAGCCCTATGAGGTAGGTACTATTATAATCCCTATTGTACAGAAGCTCTGGCACGGAGATTAACTTTCCCAAGGTCACACAGTTAATAAGTGGTGGGGTCCAACTTTAGAACCTGCATGCTGAATCACTATACTGTCCTACCTTCTAATTATTAAAGATCTACCACTATTGGTCCAATAAAGGCGAAGAATGAGGATGAGACATCCTTTTGCCTTCTGAGCAGTGTGGTATAGGGTCTGGTGCCTAGAGTTGCGGCAGAATTTTTCCTTAGCCACCATATTAGTCAGGGTTCTCCAAAGAAACAGAACCAATAATATATATTTAGATATATAGAAGAGATTTATTACAGTAATTGGTTAACAGTTGTGTGGGCTTGAGAAGTTCCATGATCTACCGTCTGCAAGCTAGAGAATGAGGAAAGCCGATAGTATAATTCAGTCCAGGTCCAAAAGCCCAAGAACCAGGAGCACCGCTGTCCAATGTCCTGGGCAAGAGAAAGTGGATGTCTCAGCTCAAGCAAAGGAGTGAATTCACCCTTCCGTCTTTTGTTCTATTCAGGCTTCACCAGATTGGATGATGCCCAGCCACATTGCCTTTCTTTACTTACTCTACCAATTCAGATGCTAATCTCTTCCAGAAACACCCTCAAAGACACACCCAGAAATGTTTTACCAGCTATCTGGGCTAAAGCCCATCAAGTTAACACATAAAATTAACCATCACAGCCACCATGAGGGAAGTCAGCTAGAGAACAAAGCTATCACATAGAGGAGGGTAGGACTGAGAAAATATTGCAGAAAAAATGAGCCAGAGACCTGATAAAGCCATACCTGAAGCTTGACCCACCTCTGGACTTTTCTATGGACCAATACCTCTTTAGAGTTTGAGTATTTTGAGTTGGGATTTTGTGTGTGTGTGTAATTTACAGTAAAAAGAGACCTCCTAACAAAAACAGATGAGTAGGGTTCAACAGGTGGAGGTATTAATGCCTCACATTTTTATGAGGTATTTGTTTACAGAATGCTGGAGGGGATTCCAGACAGAGGGAATAGCAAATATGAAGGCAGGAATGTAAGAGCTAAGTGTTTCTGCAGTGCAAGGTATGAGTTGAGTTGAGAAAGATGAGATATAAAAGGTAGGGTAGAACTAGTATCTGGAGGAACTGGTTTCTCCACTCAACTTGGTAGATGGTGGGAATCAC